CGGTTAGTACTAGACTGCCTGGAGTGGGCGGGGCGCGCGGCGGGCCGGGGCCGCAGGTGGGCAACGCGCTGGGCAGCCTGGAGCCGCTGCGTTGGATGCTGCGCTCTCCCTTCGACCGCAACGTGCCGGTCAACCTGGAGCTGCAGGAACTGCTGCTGGACTACAGCTTCCAGCATCTGGGCGTCTCCTCGCAGGTGAGGGCGGGCTGGGCGGGACGTCACTCCAGGCAGTCTAGTACTAACCGCTTCCCATGTGTCGGCCCCGTGCTACGAGTTAAAGGTGTAAGGGTACACTTAAGATCGAGCTCACGTGATTATTAACAGTTTGGCCAAAGCTTGACCTAATGAGCTTGAATTGAGCGGGGAATGGTGTTACGGTGTCACACACCTTTAATCCTAGCACTCCGGAAGCAGGGGCAGGCAGATCGCTGTGAGCTCGAGGAGGGCCAGTACTGTTACACCAAAACACCCTATCTCAAAAACCAAAGAAATCCCAAACAAACAATAAGCTTAAATTGACTATTCGTTAATGCTTTCCAAAACAGAAATGTGTGCTCTATAATTGCTTTTGATCACCTTTTTGAAGATTTATTTCAAAATTGTATGTGCGAGTGTGTTTGTGTACAAGCGTGTAGGTAGGTGCCTTAGGTCTGGGACCGTCTGCAGCTGGAGTCAGGTGGTTCAGAGTGGGCCTGATGAGGGTACTGGGAAACAAACTTGGGTCCAGTGCTCCCTATCTCTCCAGCCCCCATTAGGTTTTTAATTAGAGTATATAAAACAAATTCAGCCTTGCAACTTGGATTTGGGGTTATTTTTGTATTTCATGCATGTTCTGTCGTCATTCATCTATTTGTGCTTCTCTTTCAAAGTAGGGCTGCGTTGATCATCCCATAGTTTTGACAGAGGCCGTGTGCAACCCGCTCTATTCGCGCCAAATGATGTCGGAGCTCCTTTTTGAGTGCTACAGGATCCCGAAGGTTGCCTATGGGATAGACAGCCTCTTCAGCTTCTACCACAACATGCCCAAGAATGCTCTTTCCAATGGCCTCATCATTTCATCCGGCTACCAGTGTACACACATTTTACCTGTCTTGGAAGGAAGGTGAGTTGCGCTTGTGGCATTTAAGAAGCCTTGGTTGAGGACCTACTGGAAAACTGAAATGGAAAGGTACCTATTGGGAATGTCTGGCAAGTGCTGGATGGTGAACTGAACTGGACTTAGCTCAGACCCACATCAGTGTGTGACTTTGTATGGTATTTTACCTGTCCTTCAGGGCCTCCTTGAGGGAGTTCAAGTTCAAGTGTCTGACAGTTATATAATTTTATAATTCTTATTTATGGACGATTATCACAGTACCTACCCATAGTAGACACTCAGTAAACTTTTTTATTTATAGTTTTTCGAACAGTAAACACTTTTGAGTACATTATTTGAATATATTTATTTCTCTCTTTAACCCGGCAGTGGTGGCACACGCCTTTAATCCTCACACTGGGGAGGCAGAGGTAGGTGGGTCCCAGGGATTGAACCTCAAAGTCCTCAGCCTTTACAACAAGCACCGTTACCAGCGGAGCAATCTCACTGTCTCTTGAATACATTTAGTTTAGACCATCTTGGTATTCAGGAGTCATTTTTTGTTTTTCAAGATAGGCTTTCCTGGAACTCGCTTTGTAGACCAGACTGGCCTTGAACTCACAGAACTCCGCCTGCTTCTGCTGCTGGTAATATAGGTGGGGTTATAGGTGTGCACCACCATGCCCAGCTTCTGGAGTCGTTTTTTAATTAAGAATTTTTACATTGTAAACTCTAATTCATATTGCCCATGCCTTTATTTTTTTTATTTTGTCTAACCTGTACTAGGCAGTTATGGAAATTTTCAGAGCTCAATAAAAAGGCAGATAGTTCTAATCTGGTCCTGTCTCAGAGTTTAGTTTTATTTTCTCATGTGAGATGAGGCTACCATTTTGACCCTAAACGTTTCCTATATAAGACGTGTGTACCACAGGCAGCAGGCTCTGGCTCCAGAGCTGGATGCTTGGGTTTGCAGCCCTGCTAAAGTGAGACTCATGCCCCTTCATGTGCCTATGCATCTAACTGTGGAGGGAAGCAGTTCTCTGCAAACTTATAAAATGAGCTTGGAACTGGCATGCTTGACCATTTCCCTGTTACTTCTAGGCTACTTGACTCTAGGACCACCCACCTCCCAGAGATACAGGCTGAGCCACTATCAATATCTTGCTTTGGAATGTGTGTTTATTCTGTTGAACCGTCTCCTACCCCCCCTACCCCCCTGGTGTTTTTTGTTTTTTGTTTTCCTGAGACAGGGTCTCTGTATAGCCCTGGCTGTCCTGGATCTCACTATGTAGATCTCGCTAGGCTGGCTTTGAATTTATAAGACATCTGCTTGCCTCTGCCTCCCAAATGTTGGTATTAAAGGCTTAAGCCACCATGAGACTCTGGGCAGAAGTTAAAGGGCCACGTGTCTGGGTGTGCAGTAGGAGTTCCGGCCTTTGGTAATGCACCAAGGGACTCTTGCTGATGTGGGCTTTAGGTGCCCCAACCTCCGCTATTCTGCCTCTTTGTCTCTATTCAGTTCCCCTGCTTTCCCCAAGATGTTCCACATTTTGTCTTTTATGCTGCACCGACTTTCAGTGTTGTTCTTTCCTACTTTGGTGTAGACTAGATGCCAAAAACTGCAAGCGCATCAATCTCGGAGGAAGTCAGGCGGCCAGCTACTTGCAGCGGCTCCTCCAGCTGAAGTACCCAGGGCACCTGGCAGCCATCACCCTCAGCCGCATGGAGGAGATCCTACAGGAGCATAGCTACATTGCTGAGGACTACGGGGCAGGTGATGCAGGGGACCTTGCTCCAATTTTCCAGCTCTGTTGATCTTTGAGGGTTCTTCACGTTACTACCAGTGTGGCCCTTGCTTGCTCAGCATCCGTCTCCCCTTTTGGTGTTCACTCTGTGAGATTAGCCAGTGAACTAATTGCCATGAACAGGTTCCTTTTAGACACCATAGCTTTATAACGTGCCTCCGGGATAGCTTTCAGCTTGTTTTAAAAGTTGGCATTTTTGAGAGAGGGAGGACAGTGTGCTAGCTTAAAAGTTTGAGACCATCTAGGCGTGGTAGCGCACGCCTTTAACCCCAGCACTCAGGAGGCAGAAACAGTTGGATTTCTGAGTTCAAAGCCAGCCTGGTCTACTGAGTGAGTTCCAGGACAGCCAGTACTACACAGAGGAGAAACCTTGTCTCTACAAAACAAAAAAAGGCTTGCGATCAATTGAAATTGCTTTATCTAATGTCCTTACAGTGATGTCAGAATAGCTCTCAGGTTTCAACAGATCTTGAGCTTTTACTTTTGAGGCAGTTTCTGTATATAGTCCAGGCTAGCCACTGCTTGTGTGTAGCCTCCTGTTCCTGCCTTGGCCTCTAAGTATCCTGAACTTCTGATTGTATTTTACTTCGATGTACTTTTGGTGACTATATTACTTATTATACAAATGTGATAAATACAAATGTATTTGTATTTTCCTTACAAACGTAAATGATTCAGATAAAACCCAAGAACTGTGGTTAGTAGCTCTATTAAGACACTCTTTCCCACAGTGTGTGACTGGGCTTTCTTGTAGTCGTGAAAGGTACTGGCCTTCAGCCGACCACTGCTGAGCTTTGGAAAGGCAAAAATAGCATAATGCCTTTATTTGATTTTTATTCTTTGAACAGAAAACTTATTTGGTCTACTCTAAGGACAGAGTGCTAGAAACTAGCAAGAATACCACCTGCACCCAGATGTCTTTATCTTTGAAGATGGCTTATTGGTTAAATGGGCTTGCTTCCAGAACCCACAAAGTGGAAAGAGGGAACCAACTATAGCAAGCTGTCCTCTGACCTCACATGTACGCCTCACATATACACATGAATGTTAAAAAGATTGAGGGTGGGGATGTAGCTCAGTGGTGGAGAGTACTTGCTGTCCTGCGTTCCATCCCTAGCTTAGAATGAATCAGACACGAGCAGACTTGTCATCCCAGCACTTGAAAGTAGAGGTGGGATCAGAGGATCAGATATACAAGGTCATCTCTGCCTCACAGTGAGTTTGAGGCCAGCACAGACTATGTGAGACCCAGTGTCAGAAGGAGCAAACCTGGAGGGTGGAGAGCTGGCTCACAGCACTTGCTGCTCTTGCAGAGGACCTGGGTTCGGTTTGGAGCACCCACACAGTGGCTACTACCATACCTAATTCCGGTTCCAGGGCATCTGCTGGCCCCCATGGGCGTCAGACATGTGCACAGTGTCCTTAACTCACAATTAGGCAAACTTAAAAACCAACCACGCACAATTACGCAGAAAACCCAGCAAAGAAAAATAAAAACAAAGTCCAACCTTAATTGTGGTAGAAACCATAGAACATAAAATTTATCATCTGCCTTTTTTTTTCTCTTTTTTAAAAAATCTTTTGTTTTTTGGACAGTCTCCCTATGTAGGCCCATCTTGACATCAAACTCGTGGCTCTCCTGCCTCAACTTCCCAGTTGCGAGGTTCATCTTAAACAGTGATCAGGGTAGCTGAGTGGTGGTTAAAAGCTGTCTTCAGAACACCTTTGTTAAGCTCCTGTGGTTCATGAGGCACAAAGAAGTTGGGTAACCTAGACATAGAAAGTTATGGGTTCCCTTTCCTTCCTATATTTTGATATTAGATTAGCTTTTGTAAATTTTTTTTCCTTTTATTTATGAGACAGGGTCTCACTAAGTATGTAATCCTAGCTCACAACCCTGTCACCCTAGATCCAGGGGATCTGATGCCCTCTTGTGGCTGCCATGAACATTGCCCGCATGTGGCTCACAGACATAGATGCAGGCAAAATCATTCCTGCACATAAAAAAAATAAATTTAATAGCATTTAATTCTGTGAATTCCCCTTTTCGGCACTGCTGATGTGACTGTGTCCCATGAATGTTGATAGATTTTCATTTTTGTTTAATATTTTATAATTTCTTCAAGACTGCTTCTTTAAGTGATTGTTTAGAAATATTTTGCAAGACACCTTTCTGTGATTTATCTGTGGTTTAATTCCACTATGGTGAAGGAGCGTTATTTGATGTCAGCTAAGCTTGTTTATTTTGTGGCCCGGCATGTAGTCATATTTGAGGGCATTTACTCTGCTGCCTGGGTAGGGTTCAGGTCTCTCATGGTGATGGTGGTCAACACGGCTATAGCCTTGATACCCTTCCTTCTGTTAGTTCTGTTGATAATTAGGAAGAGTGTACTGGTGTCAGTAGGTGTGATCATGGGTCACATTTCTCCTTTCAGTTCTGTCCGTTGTTTTATTGTTTTTGTTTTTAAACTAAGGACCAGACGTTACAATGCTAGGCCAGCACTCTGTTTCTGAGCTCTGCTCCCAGTCCCCATCTGCCAGTGTGTGCTGTTTGTTTTCCGGCTCAGTCTTGTTAGCTGTGTACTTTAACATTGTTATGTCTTCTTGTCCCTTAACCTTTTGTCATTATTGGTGTCCCTTTTTTAGTCTAGCAGTTTATTTTTTTTTTCTTTGAAGCATACTTGAACATTCAGAGTCACTCTGCCAGGGCGTGGTGAGACACACCTTTAATCCAGCACTAAGGAGGCAGAGGCAAATGGATCTGTGTGAGGCCAGCCTCGTTTATTAGTAAGTTCCAGACTAGCCAGGGCTACATAGTGAGATCTGCCTCAAAACAAACAAATATAAATAAATTAAAGACAATCCAGCTTTCTTTTGAATAGGATTTGTATGGTTTATCTTTCCATTTATTTAATTAGCAACAGGGTCTCATGTGCTCATTCTCAGAACTCCCTGAATGTCTGAGGATCGCCTTGAACTCGTGATCTTCCTGCCTCTACTTCTCAAGTACTAGGATTAGGGGCAGGCACCACCACTCCCTGCTGGCATCCCTTTAGCTCTGTTGTTTATCTGTGTGATTCAGGTGGGCTTGTAGTGGTCGTGATATACTAAATGTTCCATCAGGGATGACATCCAGGCCTTGTGCTTCTCAGTAGCACTCTGTGGGTGCGAAGGCCATGTGTGTTTGAATTTAGGACTCCTATTTTAATTTTTCTCTTTCGCTCTGACTTTTAGGTTGTTGGATTTCTATTTTATTTTATTTTTAGGCAGCATCTCACTGTGCAGCTCTGACTGGCCAGGAACTCATTATGTGATCCAAGCTGGCCTTGAACTGAGAGACCCTTGAAGCAAAAGGTGGAGTTAAAGGGTGTGTCACCACGCTCAGCTGGGCTGTGTTCTTTAGGTGGTTACTCTAGAGTCTAGGAGTGTAACTTTCTCATCTATGTAGACTCAGTATTGATCGCTTCAGGGAAGCAATGTTAGCAGCATTCTTTTTGTTTTATGTCAAAGTATCTCACGTGCTGAACTTGTGATCACTGAGTTCATGTTAAGTGGTTCATGAGGCAGTTAGCCTCGTGTGTTTAACAGATCGACTTTCGCTCTGGCTATTGCAGCTTCCTTCCTGTGTGGTTTCTGTCTGGAGACCCTCAGAGTGGTCTGTGTGTGCTCGGGTTTTACGGCTGCGTTTGGTGTTTCCGTGCAGTCAGGTTCTGAGTATGTTAGTGTCACTTGTGCCTGGCCTCGACTTTCCAATTCACTGCTACCCGGGCTTTGATCCTCTAAACCCTTTCTTTGAAGAATTGCAGAAGTGGCGGTGTCCTGATTACTATGAGAACAATGTCCACAAGATGCAGCTTCCGTTCTCCAGCAAGCTCCTGGGCAGCACACTGACGGCTGAGGAGAAGCAGGAGCGGCGGCAGCAGCAGCTGCGACGGCTGCAAGAGCTCAATGCCCGGCGTCGGGAGGAGAAGCTGCAGCTGGATCAGGAGCGGCTGGAGCGGCTGCTGTATGTGCAGGTGATGGCAGCAGGGCACTGCCCTGGCCTTGCCCTGTAAGGTGCTTCTGGAATGTTCTCTTCCTCTCTGGTTTCCTTGGCCATAATGTGCATTGGCCGTTAAGTCACCTTTGGAATTGGAGCCCAGTGACCAGAGTCATCGAGATAATTATAACATGCATAAAGCAGGTGGTCTGTGCAGAGCTGGGGCCTCTAGCTCTGTTTAGTGATTTATTTTGTTGTTTTCAAACTTTTCTACATAAGCGCAGCCTGTGTGGTACACAGATCTTAGGGCAGGCGTCTCAGTGAGTTTCACAAAGTGACACTGTGCATGTTCCAGCACTCAGGTCAAGGTCAAGGAGCAACATTACCATTGTTTCTTCAGTGACCTCCTTCCCCCTCAGAGATAGCTGAGTCTGATGTCTCTCACTGTAGATTAGATTTCACTTATTAGATCGTGCTGAAACCAGAACGCAGTGCTCGCTAGTCAGACAATCGGAGGGGAGGGCAGGTGGGAGCCTGAGGTGGGAGCCGGAGGGGGGTTCTGCTGGGGGCTGGCTAGGAAGCCCCGGGAACACACACACATTCATTCTCATTCTCTCTATCGCTCTCTCTCTCTCCCTCCCTCCCTCGTTCCCTCTCTCTCTCCCTCTCTCACCTTCCCTCTTCCCCCCTTTGTCTCTTCCTCTCTCTCCCTCTCTCTCCCCCTCTCTCTCCCTCTTTCTCTCTTTCTCTCTCTCCCTCCCTCCTCACCCCACACCTCTCTGCTGGCTTCTGAGCTACTTTCTCCATGCTGATGACTGCGCCTGCTCTGGTCTCAGGAGCTCCTAGAGGACGGCCAGATGGACCAGTTCCACAAAGCTCTGATAGAGCTGAACATGGACTCCCCAGAAGAACTGCAGTCCTACATACAGAAGCTCACCGTGGCAGTGGAGCAGGCTAAGCAGAAAATCCTTCAGGCAGAAGCCAGCCTCGAGGTGGATGTGGTGGACAGCAAGCCAGAGGTGACTGGGGCCTGGAGAGGGACTCTTCTTGGGTCCTTAGGCTGGACAACAAGTGCCTTTACTCCCTGAGCTGTCTTTGCAGCCTTCCACTTTCTCTTTTTGAGACAGGATTTCATATAGCAGCCTGTGCTGGCCTTGAACGTGTATGTAGTTACAAATGACCATGAGGTACATGGTAACAGTACACACTTAGAGTCCCAGCACTGGGGAAGTAAAAGCACCTCGGACCAACTTCCACTGAACTGCTGGGCATTTTCATTTGCTTTTCCAGGCTGCATGCTATGTTCAGATCAGAACTGGCTTTCTAGAACTCAAAACTATATCATCTGTTGTGCATTCATCTATTAACTTGGTAGTTAAACTGGAAAGTATCATAGGGTCAGATGCAGGCAATGGATTTTGAATCCAAAGGAAAAACAAGCAGCTGAAATGGGATCCCGGGCAGTTGGGGACCTGCTTCCCTTTGTTTCTTACCTGCGGGTTTTCCAACAGATAGTTATATGCTGTGCTTTCAGCATCCCTCCGTCTCGTCTCAGTACTTCTGTATCTTGTCTTGCTCTGGGGCCATACAGCAGGTCTCTGTAGACTTGAGGAGGTTTCAGACATGTTTCAAAAGCTTGTTTTAGGGGCCTGGGGAGATAGCATTGATCTCTCAAGCGTGAAGGATGAGTTTGGATACCCAGTACTCAGACTGGGTGTGATGGAGTGTGCCTGTAATCCTAGCCCTAGGGTGGCAAAGACAGGAGGATCCCCAGAGCTTACTGACCGGCCAGTCTAGCCAAACCAGGGAGCATCAAGGTTCTAGGAGAAACTGTCAAAAAGTACAGTGGAAAGCTAGGTGGTGGTGGTACATACCTTTAATCCCAGCACTCGGGAGGCAGAGGCAGAGGCAGGAAGATCTCTGTGAGTTCAGGCCAGTCTGATCTACAGAATGATTTCCAGGACAGGCTCTGTAGCTACTGGAAAACTGTCTTGGAGAAAGAAAAAAAGAAAAAGAAAAAAGTACCATGAAGGGGCTAGAGAGATGGTTCAGCTGCTAAGAGCTGCCTGCTCTTTCAGAGGACCTGAGTTCAGGGTTCACTATCAACATTGGGTGACTCATAATCGCCTGTATCTCCAGCTCCTAGAAATCGGATGCCACTGGGCTCCTTGGGCACTGCACACACACAGACTCAACCCCACACAGACATAGACACATGAAGTTTTTTAAAGTAAGACAGAGAGCAGTAGAGGAAGACAGCAGACTTGAGTCTCTCACTGGCCATGTGCATGCACAGTGACCTGCATGTGTGTGCATGCACACATACACACACATGTTGCTCTCTCTATAGCAAATTTGATGCATATAGTGGTTCTTTGGACTGCCAGCTCCTAAATAATGACATGGAAACTTTTTATTCATTATGAAAGCTTGGCCTTACTTTGTGCTTGTCCCCAACTAACTCTTAAAACTTCAGTTTATATTAATCCTGTTTATATTAATCTACATTCTGTCTCGTGGCCTGTTACCTCTCTTCAGTACTATATGTCCAGCATCCTCCGAGTCTCCATGGTGAATTCCTCACCTCCCAGAGTCTTCCCAGAGTTCTCAACTCTACCTGGAAGCCCCGTCTATCCTCTCCTGCCTAGCTGTTGGCTACTTAGCTCTTTAGTAAACCAATCAGAAGGTGCCTTAGGCAAGTGAGGTAAAACAGACACATCTTCACAGTGTACAGAGAGCTTATCTTAGCACAGATGCAGCAGTCTGTCCCCAGATCCCTTGGCAGTCAGCCTGCATTGCTGGAGCGTAGAGCCATTATAGTCCCTGTCCTGGATAAGGTTGGCCATGACATTGGCTGACCTGCTGTGCCCTTAGTCTTTCCCACCAGTATAATTCAGTTAGAATGAAGTGGGTAGGCGTGGGCACTCCAGCTGTGGCGTGGAGGCTGAATCAATAACGCAGCTGGAGTTTCCACCAGCATCCTCTTGTGTGTTCTTCCCACAGATCAATCCATTGGGTTGATAATGCTGATAATGCTGAATTATCTGTGAGGACTAGACTTTGGACTTCTTAGTTCTCTCTCTCTCTCTCTCTCTCTCTCTCTCTCTCTCTCTCTCTCTCTCTCTCAGGCTCTCACGCAGCTCTGGCTGTCCTGGGATTTACTCTGTAGACCAGGCTGGCCTCAAACTCCGCCTGCCTCTATCTCCCACGAGATGATGGGATTAACACACCTGACCTTTTAGTTTTTTTAAGTCGTGTGGTCATGTGCAGGCATGCTGTAGCACACAAACGTGAAGGTCAGAGGACAATTTTTGAGAGTTTATTCTCTCCTTCCCTGTTGTAGGTTGTCCGTTTAGTGGCAAGCACCCTTCGAGCCGTCCTGCTGGGTCGTCGTTTAGTCTTTTGTTAACTCTTGTCATCCCCACCCCCTTCAGTGTGAACTGCTCTGAACAGTGTTTAGTTTTCCAACAGGTGTTTGGAACGCTGGCCGAGACCCCATCTGTTTTCAGGATAGAGTCAGAGCTGAGGTTTGCTGGCGACCAGTTTCTCCACTATTTGGTGATTGCTGTGTTCTGTCCTCAGACCCCTGACCTGGAGCAGCTGGAGCCCTCCCTGGAGGATGTGGAGAGTATCAATGACTTCGAGCCCTTGTTCTCAGAGGAAGCGCCCGAAGTAGAGAAGCCAGTCACCACGGTCCAGGTTTGATCACTGCTACCACACATGCATTGTGAAGTTGTTGACATAAGTGACCAGCCCAGTCTGCTTCTCTCGGAGCCTTGGAAACCCCAGCTGTGCTTCAGCAATGGCACCAGTACTCCCAGTGTCAGCCAGAGGCTTTCCCTGGTGGTTGTTAGGGGTGCCAGGGCCACCCTGAATGTGAGCAGCTGATAGCAGAGGTATCTCTCTGTCTAGTGACTGAGGTCTCCAGACCTACAGACTGGCTCTCAGTGGTTTCCTTTACATTTTAGCCAATATCCGCATCTCTGCTGGGATCTGTGCCTCTTGTCCTGGTGGTGGCAGCAAGACAAACTGGCTGACCCTGAGCCTTCAGTGGGAGGAGGTGCTGAACCAGGACAGGGAGAGACAAGGTCGTCCTGTCTCTTCCTCTTCCTCTCCCGAGTCCCTCCTGCAGCTTGGGCACAGTAGTGTGTAGGGATTTGTCATTCTGTGGTTGAGCAAAGGTGGAAGGCAGGGTCTAGAAGTGAAGAGAGCGGAAGCGGGGTGGTTCCGACCTGGTCAGGGAAATTTGAGAGAACTGGTAGCTGAGGGGGTTGTCATTATGGCCTAAAATCATCTCTTAAACCTTGGCTTTGAAGCCCGTGTTTAACTTGGCAGCGTATCATCAGCTCTTCGTTGGGACAGAGAGGATTCGTGCTCCGGAGATCATTTTCCAGCCATCTCTCATAGGAGAAGAGCAGGCGGGGATTGCAGAGACCCTTCATTACGTCCTGGACAGGTGAGCGGGGGACCACCCCATCCTCACCCGAGCCTCTTCCTGCGTTTTGCCTGGGAAAGGTGACTGGTGGGCACGGGAAGATCTGCAGCTCTCTCCATCTCTGGCTCTGCTCAGTCTGCTCTGACCCGAGCCTGCAGGGAGAACAGGTCTGAGCTCCCTCCGTTTGTGAGCTCTGCAAACTTAACCTTTGAGTCCGAGCAACAGAGACAGTGTACCCTGGCTTTCATGTGAAACTTGACGTTGCTAAAAACCAGTGACTGTTTGACTTATGTATTCGTTGAGATAGGGGCTCCTTATGTACTCACTGACCTTGAAATTTTCAGAGAAGCTGGGATCATAAGTGTACACTACCATAACCAGCAAGACTAGTGATATTTTTAAATTTAATTTAATTTTTAAGTTATGAAAGGATATGAATACATGAGTGCAGGGACTTCTTGAGTCCCCTGCAAAAGCAGTGTATACTGTTAGATGTGTGTGTGTGTTTCTCCTGCATGTATGTATGTGGCATTGGATCCCCTGAAACTGGAGCTACAGGTAGTTGTAATATATCATGTAAGTGCTAGGAATTGAACCCAGATCTCTTAACAGCCAGTGTGCATGTGGTCTGTACTCTTAACCACTGAGCCATCTCCTCAGCTCCAAGGCTAGTGTTTTGTTTTTATTTTCCATTTTTGTTTTTTCAAGACAGGGTTTCTCTGTGTAGCCCTGGCAGTCCTGGAACTCACTCTGTAGACCAGGCTGGCCTCAAACTTAGAGATCCACCTACCTCTGCCTCCCCAACGTGGGGATTAATGATGTGTGCCACCACACCCAGCAAGACCAATGAGTTTTAGATCACTCCCCAAATACTGCAGTGCTTATGAAAGACTTCCCTCTTCTTGTAGGCACGTGTTTATATAGCGCTTACATTTCTATGCGAATGTGCCTGCCACTCATGCAAGTGGTTCCCACAGTGAGTGTTCTTCATTCCGATTGGGCAGGTGGGGTGTGTGGTTTGTTACATTCTGGTTGTGTTGGTTATAATAGGTTGGAGCAGTGACTATTTGATCCTAAGCCTGGCTGCCCTGCTCCTTGGGCTTTCTCAGTGTTTTCTGAAGACCTATCCCGGCTTTCTACAGCTAGCTATCTAAGCAGGCATGACTTCTTCTCCTCTATCTCCCTTCTCCAGGCAGCTGCTGAGATTTACAGCTTTCCTGCCCTATGGCTTTACTCTCCTCCCACCCCCGCACAACTTGAATAAAATCATCCTCGATATTGCAAAAGCAAAAACATTCTAAGCTTTGACCGTGTATTGTGGAACTGTGAACGAAGAGCAGAATACCAGTTTATCTTTTAATTGTCACGCAGACACTGATAAGTTGACTGCTCTACCAATAACTTTTACCTTTCCTGGCCTGTCTACAGTGTATTCCAGCAGCCAAACTGGAGCATCCTTTCTCTGTCTCCTAGGTACCCAAAGGCTGTTCAGGATACCCTGGTCCAGAACGTTTTCCTCACTGGTGGGAACGTGATGTATCCAGGCATGAAGGCCAGAATGGAGAAGGAGCTGCTGGAGATGAGGCCCTTCCAGTCCTCCTTCCAGGTACCTGTGCTGCTCTGTGTCGTCTCCTGCCCACTGTCTGGGATTTCGTCCAGCCGCTGGCTGATGCTGCGTGAGTGGCCAGGATTCTGCAGTCACCCACTACAGAGGTTCAGCAACTGGCCTTGTCTTTAAGTCACAGTCAGCTGATTGAGGATGGAAATCCTGCTTGTGTGTCATTCTGGTCTTCTATTTAGTCGACAAGATTGAGCATATACTGAAGCTGGAAGAGAATCCTGAGCATAGGAAGATTCTCACCAACCACAGCAAGAGCATCCTGAGTTCTCCCAGGGAAGCACGTGTTATCTGATAGTTTACTGATCTTCTGGAGTACCAGGAGTGTGCTTGGTTGACTCTTCTGGGTAGCTGTTATTTGAGGTCATAGGGAAACAGGAGGGAGGCTGAGCTGGGGAGTCGTGTGATTAATTTACATTTTAGTATGATAGCATGAGGTCAGCTTGTACGTATAACCAGTGAGTTCAAGTCAGCCTAGATTGCATAGGCTCAGTCTCAAAAAGCTAAGAGAGAGGAGGGAGAAAGAGAGGAAGATTTTTCACAAACAGGACAAATTATTATTATTATTTTTTTTTTTTTGCGGTGCTGGTGGTGGAGCCCAGAGCCATGTACCTGCTGGTAGGCATGCTGCTAGTCAGCCACATCCCAGGCCTGTACTCGTCAGAGCAGGGCTCTCATCCTATCGGATTAAGCCTCCTATGCCCAGGTCTTTCTGTGTGCTGTGTGGCAGCCTGGGTAGTCTCATGCCCAAGCTTGCATTTACCTTTGTGTTTTTTTTTTTTCCTTTTTCCTTCTTCTCCCCTCCTCTTCTTCCTTCTCTCTTTTGAGATTGGCTCTTGCTTTTTTGCCCAGGTTGGCATGGAGTTCATCATCCTTCGTCTCCCAGTTGTGCCACTCTGCCAGGCTCCAGGCTTGCACCTGTGCTGCCTCTGTTGCCCACAGCCTGTGCCCACCTGTGCTGCTATGTGTGGCCTGTGCTTCATTTCCAGAAACTCCAAATCTACCAGTCAAGCTTGAGAACTATGGTTGGCAGAGGAAGTGGGATGGGAATTGAGATAAAGACTCCAAAATAGGAGACCTGTTCAGAGCAAGGGCTTTACTGTGACTGATGGGTGAGGCTAGTTGAGGGGCCTCCGGTGGCTGTGACTCCAGCCTTGCTCTGCCTAGGACACTGGCAGTGTCGGAGAATGCCTGCTCACTCTGCTCTGCTGTAGTTTCTCCCAAGTTCTCTTGTTGCCAAGGGTCAGGGCTACCCTGCATCATCCAGGTCACCCCTGTATGTTCGATAGTTTGTGATTATCAGCATCACAGCGCAGGGGCCTGGTAGCTGTTCCCTCTGACCTGTGCCCGTGCAACTGTGTGCTCTTGTCTGGAGGATGCAGAGACTATTGACCACAATGGAGGCATCACCCGGGCCCTTCTGATGTTTCTGAGGATATGGGAATGGGTGTGGCTGAGCCTGCAGGATCTTCCTCCCTGGGCCTAGAGCTCTGGTAGGAGATGCCTTTTCAGAGTGCATCTGCTTCTTGTTCCAGGTTCAGCTTGCCTCGAACCCAGTGCTGGATGCCTGGTACGGTGCCCGTGACTGGGCCTTGGATCACCTGGAAGACAGTGGAGCCTGGGTCACCAGGAAGGACTATGAAGAAAAGGGGGGCGAGTACCTCAAGGAGCATTGTGCCTCCAACACCTACGTCCCCATCCGCCTGCCTAAACAAGCCTCACGTGCCTCAGAGACCCAGGCTTCTGGGAGAGGCTCTGGGGCCAGTGGAAGTGGAGCTGGTGAACAGGCCTAGCAGAGGGGTAGCAGAGGGGACTCCACGATGGCTGTGTGCTCCACGCAGGACATCAGCACTATCTGGGCAAGGACAGTGCCCCACTTCACTGCCTGGGCCCACCAGCTTTGTTTGGCCACTGACTGGATTTCTCCTGGGAGCACAGCAGAGGACAGCAGGTGATCTCCCTCAGTGAAGGACGGAGTGGCCTCTGGACAGTGGCCTCTGGCCTGAGAACCTCAGGCAAGCTGTGGTACTGGTTTCCTCAACGGTGCAGGAAGATGGCTGGAGACTAGAAGTGGACGGGCACAAGGTGTTTCTCTCGGCACGTGAAAAACATTTGTTGTTTTCTAAAAAACGCTCTGAAGTTACTGGTGTAGTGTGTATTCTTCTGCATGTGTGGCAGTTCTGTGACCTAGAATGTTCAGAAGGTTGTGTTGAAGTTGTGGAAGTAGTCATCCTGAGTCTCAGGAGTGGAAAGACCCCACCCACCCCCATTCTCCTCCTGGTGCGTCCTGAATGGATATGGTGCTTGAGACCCGGCCCTTTCACTGTTTCCTTTGCGGGAACTTTCCCACACTGGGAAGCCTGGCCAGAAATAGTTTTCTTCTGTTTTGTGTGTTTCTTGGTACCACACTCTTTTCAGGCCGCTCTGCAGAACTGATGGAGGAGAGTCCATCCCAAGGACTTTCCGTTTGCCAAGTACCACCTCCTCTGTGCCTTTACAGTGTGGTCTTGGATGGGTAGGTGCCCCCTCCTCTGTGCCTTTACGGTGTGGTCTTGGATGGGAAGGTGCCCCCTCTCCTGTGCCTTTACAGTGTGGTCTTGGACGGGTAGGTGCCCCCTCCCCTGTGCCTTTACAATGTGGTCTTGGGCAGGTAGGCGCCCCCTTTCCCCTTTGGTTGTGTAGTCTCAGGATCTCACTGCATAACTCAGGCTGCTTTCAAACTCAGTCTTCCTGCCTCAGCCTTCCAGGTGATGCAACACACACCCCGATAAACACCCTCTTTTATAGGTTCTTGGTAAGAATTTTAACTTTCAGACACACTCAAGAACTGAGCCCAGTAACCCCAGCCAGAGCTGCTAATGCCAGCGCAGAATCCGTATGTCTGGATTCCAGGGATTCTCAGCGCACTCACATGACGCACGCACCACACAACCTACTTACTGCCTCATTTCGCTCTGAGTAATCTAGCTCCAGTCTTCAGAGACTGAGAAACTGCAGGCCGGAAGGATGGGGTGTGTGGGGGACCCTGGTGTCTGACCCATAAGTTCCTAAGGCATTCCCTACTGAGTCATCGGCTGTGCTTGGTAGGATGGCAAGAGGAGTCTGGACGAGCCTTCCCAGCACCATGCAGGGCTAGGAATGGGCTAAGCAGGGGCAATCTCAGTCTTCTTCCTTCAGTCTGCAGTTCAGACAGCCCGGGCAGCAGGGGTAGGGTCACGGGACTGCCTTGGAGCTCAGGTGGATGGTGAAGGGTCCTGGACAGGTGAACCTGGGACTGACTTCACACAGTCAAACTCAGTAAGATGGATTGCTCGGGTTTTAAGTGTTGGTGAACACGGGAGAAGATTGGGAGCTGAGGGAAGGGATGGGCTAAGGAGCTAAGCCATGAGTTGTCTAATTTTATCACCTGTGACACATACCATGACCTTAGGGAATGGCACTTAGGGAATCCTACCCAGTCCCAGAACATGTATGCTATGGGCTTTAAACCCTAGCTGTTCCCTTCTAAGCAGTGACATTTCCTTGTATCTCATGCAGTTCAGAGGGTGCTAGGACCTTGGCCTTCAGAGCTTCAAAAGAAGAAGCATCTTCTTCTGTCCCCTCTCTTGTTGATAATTTGTCACAGCAGGCAGCCAGGTGGGAAGTGATTAAACATACAAGAGGATGTAACCCTGCCCCCACCCTGGAGACAGCGACAAAGTTCTCCAAGTAAGCCCGTGTGTCAGTGAGGGAGGAGGGAAGGGCTCCTGTGGGTCTTGACAGTCACTTTGCTTTTGCTGTCTTGACTGTTCTGGGTACCCTGTAAAAGTAACGTAGATCTTGTGTGGCTTAGCTTCTAAGTGGCCTGTTTGACCTAGCATGATACCATCATGTCGTCGGGTTTATGATGTCACGGGAGGCAAGGCATCTTGAGCTGTCTGTATTGTCTCACATCTCCCTCCCTCCCTCCTTCCCTCCCTTTCTTCCTTCCTTTTTTTTTTCCCATGAATGATCTAGCAGTCATTGGCTGACTTAGAACTCACTATGTAGACCTGGCTGACTGGCCTCAAGCTTGTAGCAATCCTCCTGCCTCTGCTTCCAGAATGCGGGATTATAGATAGATACGTGGTGCCACCACACCCGGCTGTACCGTGTTTGTCAGTGTGCTGGGCATGGAGGTCATCTCTGCTCAGCTGTTAGGAATACTCAAGGCTGCTGGTAGGAGCTGGACTTCAAGTCTGAGGAAGCTGTTTGCAGAGCCGCCGTCTCTACATCCCACCAGAAGGGCCAGGCTCTGATTCTACATCCTTATTTCTTGGTTGTTTTTTTGTTTTTTGTGTTTTTTTTATTATGGAAGCCAAACTAGCAGTTTTGATTGTGTTTACCTGCTGATCAATGGAGTTGACATTTTTGCTCTTGCCTGTTGGTCGTGTGTATTTTTCGGGATGTAGTTGATCAGAGTGTTGGCAAAGACTTACCTCCTGCTCTTGGCATCCTTTCCCACATTCTGGCCACCAAAGTAGCCACTGGCAAGTTAGGAATGTACCTGTCAGTCAATCCTACCTCCTCTCAATGTGGAAATAGGCTAGTGAGCCAGCAGGTCCTCTGGTGCCACCTACTGGCTTCCTGGGGGAGCCACAATGGCATGGATGCAAATGTGTGGTGTAGGCTCCGAACTGAGGGCTGATTTTGGAAAGGACCAGATTTATTTGAAAAGGCATGGTGTACTCTGAACCCGAGATGACCGAGGTGTACTCGGACCCCAGAGACTCTCAGGGGAGCCCGCCACATTCACCCCACCCTGTCATGTGTCAGGGTCTTACTACACAGCCCAAGCTGGCTTCAGACCCTAGATCCTCCCCCTCCAACCTCAGTGCTGGGCTGGAGGTGTCGGCCGGTGGCACCACCACCATGTACAATTTGGAAGAGTGCAGAGTTTGAAAGAGCTGCCCTAGGCACTGGGTGAGGAGACCAAGAGCACAGGTGCATTCTGGGACAGGCAGTGTTTTGGCGCTGGGGCAGAAGATTCTTCAAGGAGAACTTCAAGTAGGTGTGGATGACCCAAGCCTGTAATCCCACAGTTGGGAAATGGAGGCCCAGGAAGGTAAGAATTCAAGGACAGCCTCAACTACGGGAGAGTTTAAGAGACTAGAATAAGAGGCTGTACAAGACCCTGTCAGGAGAAAGAAGTGCAAACAGACTTCTGACGGTCAAGCTGCTGCTTTTCCTCAGGCTCAGCTCCCAGCCTGTCCCTTTTGCTCTCTACTTCCTGTGGCATTCTTGCATGTGGCCTCCAGAAAGCAGAGCCTGCTGGCTGGCAAGGGAGCGATGTTCCCCTTCTCCCTGCGAGCTTGGGAAAAGTGCTCCCGCGAGCGTCTTGAAGATGGGCCTAAGATCCTGGTGTGACGAAGCCGTAAGTGGAGGTGGCTGGCAATCCAACTTTGCCCTTAGCTCCAGGGTGAGCTCTTGTATGGAAAACTCTGATTCTCATTTTGTTTTGAGTCTGTTTGAAATGCTCTGTGACCAAAAAAAAAAAAAATCATTTAAGCCACCAGGTTTATGTGTAAACCGTGTTCCGTTTGCTGTTTTTAAAGTGTTCGGGGCTGAGCATGTGACTCAGTAGAATGCTTGCCTAGCATGTGCAAAGCCCTGGGTTTGATCACCAGCACAGTATAGACGTGGTGTAGTTCCATAATCCCAGCACTTGGGAGGAGGAGGCGGCAGGAGAGTCATCCATGATACATAGTGAGTTTGAGGCCAGCCTGAGACCCCATCTCCATAAAAAGAAAACAGGCGTTTAAGTTGTCTCTGTGGCTTGGTTATAGTCTACCCTGTAATAACTTCCCTGTGTGTACCTCTGCTTTTAGAAACAAAGCCCTGGCTTTTTGTTTTGTTTTGTTTTGTTTTGTTTTTGTGGGGAGGGGGAGTTTGTTTATTGTTGTTTGATTGGTTGGTTTTGTTTTTCAAGGTAGGGTTTTTCTTGTGTAACAGCTCTAGCTGCCCTGGAACTCACCCTTTAGACCAGGCTGGCCTTGAACTCAGCGATCTACCTGCCCCAGCCTCCCAAGTGCTGGGATTAAAGGCTGTGCCACCATTGCTTGGCTGCAGCCAGCACATTTAACAACAGAGCCTTCTCTCCAGCTCCTTAGGTCTCATTTTCTGTCTCGGTATGGCGCCACGTGCCTGTGGTCACAGTACTCAGAAGACTGAAGGATCTGTTGATCAAAAGACCAGCCTGCTACATAGCAAGATCCTGTCTTAAAAACCACAACATGTTTTAGAATCCATGTTTTAGGGTGCCAGTTTAGTTCATCTCAGGAATGAAGCCCTTGCCCCATATATGCAAGACTCAACATTCCATCCCCAGCCTCGGAAACCAAATGAACCTACATGTGCCTTGTGCAGTGGAGTTGGAAGTCATGTGTTGTGACAAACTAGCCCAACTGGGGCACAATCCACAAATCCCAAGGGAAGCCAGGCAGAAGCCAGGCAGCCCAATTATGTAACTGGTGGCTTACACAGAAGGTTTTATTTTAAATGACTTTAAGTAGATCACTTTATTTTTAAGTGACTTTCACAGTTGTTGAGGAAAAAAATAGTTGAATGTGTATCTTTAGTGGGATGTGTTCTAAAACAGAAAGAAATGGCAAAGGAATCTTTTCATAATTATGTTAATAATAGCACAATATGGTTATTCTGAGGATCAATATATGTCTATATTCAAATAAATATTCTAATGTTAGGAGCCAAACATTTTAGTGTGATAGGATGTAAAAATGTAAAATCAAGTGAAAGAAACTTTGGTTATTCTAAATTAGAATTGCAGATCCCGATAGGAACACATGATGTCTGTTTTCTTCAAAAATACTAGTGTCAGGCTGGCAGGATGGCTCAGTGGGTAAAGCCAATCATCTGGGAAGACATACAGCCTGAGTTTGAGTCCTCAAATCCACATCAAGGTGGAATGAGAGCTCCAGACCTCCACACATAAGCCGTGATGAACACACACACGCATGTACATGATGATGCAATTTAAAAACAAAAGTGCTAGTTTCAAGCTGGATAGCGTGGTGCATGCTTGTAAATTCCAGCACTTAGAAGGTGCACTCGGGAGGGTCAGGAGTTCAAGGTCAGCCTAGGTGCTAGGCATGAATGGTGTTAGGC